TGTTATGTGCCGTCAAATCGGACCCGACTCATAGGACCCCCTCCTTGAGTTTCCCAGGCAGTATTACTACAGAAGTAGATTGCCCAGCCTTCCTTCTGAGGAGTGGCTGGTGGGTTTGAACAGCCAGTCTTCTGTTAGCAGCCAAGTGCCTTAGGCACTAAGCTACCAGAGCTCCTTTTAAAATCTTAGACACTATATTTGATGAATTTCTTTATAGATCAAGCTTGTGAGAAAAAAAATAGCATGATTATAATAAACTCGTTGTTGTTGTTTTGTGCCATTGAGTCGGACCTGACTCACAGCCACCCTTCCTTGAGTTTCCAAGGTAGTATCACTATGGAAGTAGATTTCCCCATCTTCCTTCCGAGGAGTGGCTGGTGGGTTTGAACCACTGGCCTTCTGGTTAGCAGTCAAGTGCCTTAGTCACTATGCTACCAGAGCTCCTAATTATAAACTCAGGGTCATATAAAAAACATTCATTCATTCCTAAATATATGTAATTCTATGATGATGTTCAGATATAACAAAACAATCCATGCAGAAATTACATACTCAAAAATCATGCTAGAAGAAAATTAATATCCATATCTACGAGACAGCAAGATTGGAGGAAGATTCAATAACAACCTGAAATGTGGAAGTGGCAAAACATTGCTTTCTATAAGGGAAGATGACTTTTAGCACTTACTTATGAAGATCAAAGACTACAGCCTTCAGTATGGATTACACTTCACTATAAAAAAATGCAAATCCTCACAACTGGACCAATAAGCAACATCATCATAAACGGATAAAACACTGAAGCTGTCAATGATTTTATTTTACTTGTATTCACAATAACTGGCCATGGAACCAGCGGTCAGGAAATCAAGTGACACATGCATTGTGCAAATCTGCTGCAAAAGACTTCTTTAAAGTGTTAAAAAAAAAAATAAAAAGCCATCACTTTGAGGATGAAAGTGTATCTGATTCAAGCCAAGGTATTTTTCAATCCCCTCATGTGGTAGTTAGGGTTATCTTTCAGCTTGGCTGAGCCTGGTTTTGATTGGCCGGGCAGCTGGTTGGAGTGTTCCCCATGATGAGATTAGTAATCAACTCCATGGTGGAATCTATTGCAAGCAGCTGAGTAGCTGCTTTAGCGATGTGGTTGGCTTCCCATGTATAAGGAGAAGTTTTGGAAATGGTCTCCAGCTTTTTGGCATACTTGGACCCTGAATGTAGCCAAGTCTTCATTCAGCAGCCTGCCATGATCTGCCAATCTTGGGACTTTTTCTGGACTTGAATTAGTGGACTGCCATGTGGTTTGGTAATATTAGGGCTGTGTCTTTTCACTTGTTGACTTTGAGTTTGTTAGCCTCACCAGCCAGCAGCTGCCTGAGTGAAGAAAGCCTCTAGCTTCAGTGGGCTGGGAGCAAACAGCAGAAGCCCAAGGTCTAGGGGCTTTCGCCCAGCCCTTAGAACCTGGTACTTTGAACTCAGACTTCTAGTCTCCCAAACTGTAAGAGAATAAACTCCCTGTTTGTTTGAGCCATCCCATTTGTGATATATTACTGCCAGAGCAGCACTAGGTAATCAAAACAGCATGTGAAAAGTAGACAATAAATGAATAAGGAAGAATGAAAGATTGATGCCTTTGAATTATAGTGTTGACAAAAAATATTGAATATACCATGGACTCTTATAAGAAGGAACAAATCTTTCTTAGAAGAAGTACAGCCAGAATGATCCTTAAAAGTGAGAGTTGCAAGAGTTTGTGTCTCATATTTTGTACATGTTATAAGGAGAGACTAGTGCCTGAAGAGAGACATCATGCTTGGTAAAGTACAGGGCCAGTGAATTAGAAGGAGACCTTCAATGAGATAGATTGACACAATGGCTGACCAATGAGTTCAAACATAGCAATGAATGTCAGAATGGCACATGACTTAGGCATGCTTTTGTCTCTTGTACACAGAGTTGTCAGTCTCAATCAATTCACTGGAAGCTAACAACATGAGATGAATGGTATATTCTAAAATTAAGGAGTTACTTCCACCTTAAATTAACCTTTAGTGTCATAGTTTTGGTTAGCATGTGTGTCTACTGTGAAATCCTTTCTGACACAGGGAGCTAAAGGTGTTGTGAAGATCAAGACAAGTGCTACTCTTTGGAAAGCAATCACTTAAACAGTCATTTACTTTAATCTAACAGTTATTACTTAGAAGGAAGCAAAGGTTTCATTTCATTATAAATGTGTCACCAGTGCTATTTGCAACTAAGTGTAAGACTATATTCAGAATATGTTATATTTACACTTGCCTTTTAAAAAATCAACATATCAGTTAATTTTATGAACCAAATATATATATTTTTGTTTTGTTTTGATGACTACAATGTAGTTTTAATTTTATTTGATGGAACCTAGGAGATTTTAAAATTTCCATTATTTCTTTAAAATTAACATGTTGTATGAAGAAAAGGGAGCTCTAGTAGTGTAGTGCCACTTGACTGCTAACCAGAAGGCTGGTGGTTCAAACCCACCAGCCGCCCCTTGGAAGGAAGGTTGGACAATCTACTTCCGTAGAAATACTGCCTCAGAATTCCAAGGAGGGGTTGCTATGAGTTGGTACCGGCTTGACGGTACATAACAACAACATATGAAGAAAAGAGGTAATGTGTATTACTGCATAAACCAAAACCAAACCAAACTCACTGTCATCTAGTCTATTCTGACCCCTCCTTGGGTTTCTGAGACACTGTCTCTATGGAAGTAGATTGCTCAGTCTTCCTTCTAAGGGTGACAGGTGGATTTGAACCACCAGTCTTCTGGTTAGCAGTCAAATGCCTTAGGCACTAGGCCACCAGAGCTCCCTTATTACTACTTTATAGCATTGAGCAAACTGATTTTTGTTGACTTTTTTTCCCTTCAATAACTGCTTGTTACACATATTTGGATACTGTCTAAAATATTCCTAAAAACAAAATTAAACCAAAAAAACAGTTCATTTAATTACTGTAAACTAAATTAATGCTCACATTCAAAATTAGTTTTTACATTTGTTAAGAAAAACACATGGTGATGTTTTATCAAAATTGCTTAAGGAAAGAACAAGTACTGATTTTCCTTTTGTTTACTTGGGCTTCTCATACTCTCAACTCTATTTTATCTGGATAATTATCTACTTAATGACTTATTGAAAAAAGTTAGAGACAACATCTCAAACTAAAAATGCATTTTTTTTTTCTTTTCCAATCTGAGGTACCCCTAAATATGATTATGCAGCTATTTGTTGGTGAGTCTGATGAACTTACCAAGGAATTTAAAAGGAAACTTATGAGGCAAAAAGAAGCAGAGATGGAAGACAAATAAGTTTTTGTTCACGTGGCAGTAGCTGCATGATTCAACAATTTTTGAGGGCCTCAGTGACTGCACTGCCGTAGTTTCATCTCTTATCAGTTGCATCCTGACTCAACTGACATAATGGCCTTATATCT